CTGATGCTGCTTGTCGTGGGGGATCTGGCGCAAGTGGCAGGGCTCGACCCCGAGGCTGGCGTTTGCCTCGGACCAGATCCTGTCGAGGTCCTCTGGGTGCAGGCGGTGACTCGGGTCGAGCGTCGGCCAGGGCGCCGCGAGGATGCAGGGTGGTCTGTCTTCACCTCCCGGCGGCTCGACCTGAGACGGCTCGAGCTTCTTCAGGGCCCGCGGCGTGGCTTCCCCGATGGGGGCCTCCAGCCCGCGGGCCGGGGCGGTGCGCGGAGGTGCGCTGACCTCGGTGTGGGGCTGCGGCGGCTCGAGGGCAGCGGCGACGCGCTGGTCCACGACGAGGTCGTCCAGCTCGCGCTGCCCCGTGGCGTGCCGGCACGTGGGCGGCCCCGTGGCCAGGGGCACGCCGCCGACGTCCTCGATCCAGTTGCCATTGGCCAGGTCCGTCGGCGGCATGCTGCGAAGTCCCCATCGGAGGACCCGCGGGATGCCGTGCCCGGCCGTGAGCTCCCCTGTCTCGTGGAGGAGGCCGAGGCTCCCGTTGGCGAGGCCCTCCGAGACCCACATGCAGACACCGATTGGCAGGATGCCACCTCGCCCTCCCATGGGGGACCATGCCGCGCACAGTCGCCCTGTGGAGCCTGGTGGGGAGTGATCACATCCTCGATATCCTTCCAGTGGGTGCGAGACCAACTGCCGAAGGTACTGCGATGCATACTGCTGCAGTCGTGCCTCCTCGAGGGCCTGGCGCTGAACTGGCCATGGCGAGGGTGACGCCTCGCTTCCCGGCTGCCGCGATGATTTCTGGAATCCAGATTTTGGCCAGCTGGTGCTGTTGCCCCATGAGTGCCCAGACTGGTCCTCCACAAAGATTGTTTATGGGCTCGCTGGCGGACTTCCAACTCGTGCAATTGGCTCCGCGCAGCTTGACTCCCTTCCCGGTGCCTCCGCGCCCTCTAGTCCTTGATTGAGGGGGGGTCTCACCCTGGGGCATCTGGGCAGACACTGCCTCTGGCGCAGCCCTGGGATGATCACGATGACGCACTGCCGTGCTGGACTCTGGTGTCCAGGTGCCTGTGACTAGCCGACGGTCCCCCAGCGTCTCAGTACGCCCAGGCGCTGTGCCGTCGCTGAACCTCGCCCGTCTCGGAAGCCAGAGGTGGTGGTCCTGTGGCGCGGGGGCTGCAAAGGGAGCCCCGCCTTCCCTCTGCTCGGGGGGGCTATGCCCCCGCCTCTGGCTGAGAGGCAGCGGCGGGGGCCTTTGCCCTTTGCGCCCTCCGCTTGGCCAGAGCCTCCGCGATGCAAGCCTGGACTTTGGCCCGCTGCGCGTCCGCTCCTGGTGTACTTGCAGAGGAGCTTGAGGCTGTCGAGGCTGTCGAGGCATCCGCATCACCTTCTCCATGCTCTGGTCCAGGTCCGTCTGCGCCTGCGGCTGGGGGTGCAGCTGGGGGTCCAGCCTCCCCGTTGCCGCCCTTGCGCTTCTTGACCATGCGGGCCGCATGCTCCTGGTGCTGCCCCTTGACTGCCTTCGCCGCCTCGGCGGCCTTCTGGGAAGCCTCTCGCGCCATACTGGTAATCTTCTCCTCGAGTGCTCTTTGCCTCTTGTCAATATCCTCCTTGTCCTCTTTGGCCACCTCACAATCCTCCAAGTCGACGGTCGAGCCCATGTCCACCTTGATCGTGCTGCAGGTGCCGTCGAGGGAGGCACCCAGGGCCAGGACGGGCTCTTCGGTCTTCTGCTTTGGCTTGTGGAGCTGGGCGGGGACGTTGCCGTTCTGGGCATTGACCTCCTCGAGTTCCCCATTGAGCGTGGCGATCCACTCGCGCTGCTCTTCCATAATTAGCCTTCTCCCACTTGTCGAGCTTGTCGAGTGCGGCTTCGAGCTTCTTGACGTGGCGGTCTCGAGCATGTGTGATGTTGGAGAGCTGGATTTCCAACGGCTTCGGGGCTGGCCAGATGGCCTGCTTGGTGAGGGTCGCAACCCTGGCCTTGCAGCGGGTCTCCAGGCTGGTGTTGCCCATCTTGGTAGCGATGGCCAGCAGACTCTTGACTTCGGCGAGCTCGAGCTTGCCGACCCCGAGCAAATCACCGTCATCATGTTCATTGCCACCACCAAGAAGAGCGCGGCCCTCGCGACTGGCCCAGTGCCCCTGGAGGCGGAAAGACGAGATGTCGGGGGGCTGGTCGTTTCCGGATGTGTAGCAGTGCTTGCACCAGTACCAGGTAGAATGGCTCTTGGCGCATCCGCAGGCTGTGCACTTCCAGGTCGGACCTGTCGGCACCTTCCACGGTACATGCCTTGGTGCCATGTGCTCGAGCGATCGGAGTGGAATCCCTCTCTGGTGTGGTCAGGAGGGGTGCTCCCACAGGAGCTCAATTGGCCGCGAACTAGCGGTATCTGTGCTCTGCCACGGGCAAAATCATCTTGAGTCAAGATGGCTACGGGGACTAGGGATGAGAGGGGGATGAGGAGGAGAAGGAGGAAGAGGAGGAGGAGGAGGAGCAGGAGGAGGAGGATGAGGAGGACAAGGAGGCGGAGGAGGAGGAGAAGGAGAAGGAGGAGGGGACAGAGGAGTAAAAGGAAGAGGCGGAGGATGAGGAGGAACGATATGTCATCGGATGAGGAGAAGGAAGACGAATTTGAGGAAGAGGGATAGCAGGGAGGAGGGATGATGATGC